TTCTGTTTTATAGAGATGTTAGTCTATATATAGGATTGATGTAATCTTTATAAAACATGATCTTCATCAATAAAAGATCTTTCTCTTCATTCAGCAAATTAGTAGTTCATTCAATTTTGTGCATTTGTTAATATAGAACTTCCAAACATTATTCATGAAGCTCTTAAAAACCCAAAATAGAAATAAGTGGTTAGGGAAGGAAATCCATGCACTTACAAATGGTAGCTCTTAGAAATACCAGAAGGAAGACAACCTCTGGGATACAAATGGATATTTCGTGTTAAATATAAGACCAGTGGAAGTGTAGACCGGTATAAAGCAAGGTCAGTTGCTAAAGAGTTCACTCAAACACATGGAATTAACTATCAAGAAAAACTCAACACTATCAAAATTCAATTATTCTTGGCAGCTAATTCAGACTGGCCTCTCCACCAGTTGAATGTTAAAAATGCATTTCTCGGCGGAGACTTGGAAAGCAAAGTCTACATGGAGATTCGTCCAGGATTTGAAATGAAGAAGAATGTCAGCATAGTTTGTAAACTATCAATCTCCAAGAGCTTAGTTTGACAGATAGTAAAATAAAACTTTGTTTACTAAACAATCACCTGAAGGGAAATTGACCATTCACGTTGTATATGTCGATGACATTATTGTGAAACAAGATTATGAAGATGAGATGAGTGGTTTAAAGGCGTTTCTCGCCTAGGCGTTTGAAATCAAAGATCTTAGAGCTCTCGAATACTTTTTAAGCATGGAAATGACAAGGTCAATGAGTGGTACGGTCTATCAACGTAAGTACACTCTAAACTGACTAAAGGTAACTGAAAGTTAGCATGTAAGCCTACACACACTCTCATATATCCATCCTATAAATGGAAGTGAAAGAAGGAAGCTCTCCAGTTGACAGAGGGAGATACCAAAAAGTTGTATGAAAAATCATATATCTTTCCATACAAGACCAAACATTGATTTCTCAGTCAATTTGATTAGTTTATTCATAATAATACAACTGAAAAACATCTTAATGTTTATCGGATCCTCATAAATCTAAACAAGAAAACATGTAAGGCCTTGCTCTCCCGAAAAGGAACAAATAGGAATGTTGAAATATTTTAAGGTGCAGAACGGCTACCTCCGATTTTTGCACTTATATATGGAGGAATCATGTTTTTGCTTGCAAAGCAAGAAGCAATCTGTAGCAAGGAATAGTGCTGAGGTTGAATTCAGAGCTATGGCACACATTATATGTAAATGAATGTGGTCGAAAAGGTTACTTGAAGAGTTAAATATTCCAAACAAGAATTTAATGAAATGGCGAAAGTATTAAGAACCCATTCATCGTGAAAACTAAGCATGTGGAGACTAATTGTCACTTAATCAAAGAAAATATTGAGGAATGCATAATCAATATGACTTGTGCATTGACTTGTCTAAGTTGTCTTAATAATCCCCACGCACAAAAATGCACACAAGCAAATATATATGTAATCCACCACCATCATTTTCTTCTTCGGCGACTGAATTTACTCCAAAACAATCACTGGAGGACGTGAAAAAGTTTTTTGACTATGAAAGCCAAAGAATTCCTCAACAGTTTCACTACTTCAACAACAATTCTTTTGGTATTGAATCCAATTTTACTCCGCTATACAGTGACTTGCCGTCCCCAACTTTGTCCGTTGTGATCTTCACAGTTAGGGGATTGTCCGGTCGACCAGCCAACATATGAGTCCGGTAACGGCCAGTGTGAAAAAAAGCCCGCCCGCTGCGGGTTCTGGATCGGCCTACAAATTTTAAACTACAACTCAGGCCCTCCCGCTGACCCATCCGGGTCGAGCCCAAGCAGGTCACGGATCGCGGTTTGTTCCGATTTAACCCGTATTATTGTATAAATAAAATTATAAAAATATAGAATTTTTTATATTTACAGTAAAAAATATTTTTTTAGTTCAATATAAATTAAGAATTGAACAAAATTAATAATAAATTCATATTTATATCAAGAAATATTTACATAGAATTCAAATTTAATATTACATAAATTATTTATAACTTTGCAAAATTAAATTTAACTTAAACAAATAACAATTATATGCATTTCTAATTACTATTATCAAATATTAAATTCTAATCAACTGCATGCCTGCCAGTTTGCTGCAGCAAGCTAGCAGGTGAGAGTCTCTCTCCCCCCATTTTTTTCAAATTTTTAAATTTTTTTTTCGCGGACCAACGAGTTAACTGCAACTTGTGAAGCCCGCAGGCCGCCGATCACACCTCCTTGACCTGTGAACCGTCCGCTCGAGTCATTTTTCTCCTATAAATTCAATGAAATAGATCATCAAAGAAATATAGTTCTTCTCAAACCCAATCATGACTCTTCTTCATTGGATTATCTTTTTTTAAACATTATGCGACTCAAAATCAACCAATTATCCATGAATTCATATATTTTTGTTTCCTACTTATTCTTAAATATTTAGGTCATATCGTCAACTATTTTTGAGACGTTTGAGCCAAATATTTTTCAATGAAACCAAACCAAAAGTAACAAGTTCGAGTCTACTTCAAGTTTTTCATTTGGTCACCAATATTATAACTATGACGTTCTGTATTTGCATTCAAATTTTGAAGATGTTCAACAATGAAAATGAACATACATCCAAGATAGGGAAAATTGGGAAGTTCTAATGTTTACAAGAATTATTACTGAATACTACAATGCACAAGAATATTTGCAAAAGTTCTCCATGCCGTGCTTTCATTTAGCTCTTTTACTTGCTCAAGTTGGTTGCTTTACTGAAGTCGAGGATATTCCGGCTAGCAAATGTAATTAGTCATTCCCTAATATCAATGGAATAATGCTACCTACTAGCCATTGTGTTCAACACCAGTCTTGGTGTGGCAGTAGAGCACAATCCCGTAACTAATGATCACCAATAGTAGTGTGTGGGCTCCACTGCCACCGTTGAACATTACTGTTGATAAATAGCAGTACTCGTATCAATAACTCAAAAGTCCAAGATAAGACTGTCAAGATTGCTAATACCATAAAATAGATATCCAAAGTAAATCAAAGAAAACAAAGAGGCAGCAGATATTCCTTCAGCATCTTGCTGCTAGTTACTTAAAGAAAACATCACCGGGCAGTATATGCTAAAAGTACAACTAATTATAGGTTTTTCTATGAACAAAACACTAAACTGGTAAACGAAATAGAAATACAACTATACACCATGAATTCATGGAAATGACAATTTCTACAGCCATTAATGATACCACCATGGACAAGGGGAATCAAACCTAAAAAAAGTTCAAATTATACTCACAGCAAGCTATCTGCAAGAGATCTAGGGACTTTAACTTTCATCTGCAACCCTTGCAAGACAATCTACAGACGTGCAATTAGGGCAAGAGTTCAAAAATATTGTTTTCTCGAACTAGCCTGCTTCATGGCAGTAAATAATTTCAGCTTTCATAATCAGGAACGTGGCATTGGCTATCTTCGTCCTGCCACACCGGTTCCATTTCAACTTGAAATCCGGGTAAATTCAGCATCCAGAATTCATCGCCCTCAAATCAAGAAACTGCAGCATGTAAAGACAATGTGAATCTTTTGTCCGACAATTGGTTTCTTGAAATTCATCTATAGATATAGAAAAGTTATATCAATCATTATCTAAATTAAAAAGACAATTAAATCCCCTAAAAAACGTTTTGCATTCAAATATGTTACTATAACACGTTTACTTTGACTTGAATTTTCAAGATGAATTACTCTTTTATTTACTTGTTCATTTATTTGGTAACAATTAAGCTTCTGTAAGTATCTAGCATTAGCTTGAAGTTATGTATTCATAGCTTTCATCAAGAGTTGCTAAACCACGTTTATTTATTTCACCACAACCCAAAGATTGTGCTGAACTATAATTGCAAATAGTCACAAATTCAAAAATCAATTTAGACGATCAAACACTCAAACCTTGTGACCACAGTTTTGCCACTTCTATTATCATTGTGTGCAAGCTCCCAGTTATACAAAGTAACCAAGTGGAAAGGTAAACTTGGGGCAGGAAGCCACCATCTCCCATCCACCGCCACCCTGACCCCAAAAAAATAATAAAAATCCCACACAGAGGGCAACAGAAAACTTCTCAGAAACTTCACACATCACTTCCCACCTTCAGTTTTGACAAAAACAGTGAAATATTTCTATGGCCTCCAACTTTTTGATAAGAAGTTTAAAATGATGGAAAACTGTATACAATAAATGGAGTCGAAACCACTTTCTCGAATTTCATTGTTCCTCACCTTTAATAAATAAAAACTGTTCACGCTGCTTAATCAGAAATTAAACTCTGTGAAAGAAAGAAAAATAAGGAAATCAAAAGGTACGCCAGACAAAGTGGGATCCATCTTCTTCTCAAAATCTCTTATTCTTTCTATATTTGTGAAGAAATATTATATTTAAATAGAAGTTTCATCACTCATTAAAAGTAAAGATCTAATCTTTACCTATTTAAATAGAAGTTTCATCACTCATTCAAAGTGAAGATCTATTCATTCCCTTCTCGAGGTATTGCTAAATCGTTTTTCTTGCACTTTTTCAATTGAAAACTATAATATTTATTCTGTTCGTAGGGATTTGGATATATCAGTAGTTGAATTGAAATCCTTATATGAATTTAACACTTGTAAATCAGTTCCTTTACATCATGGCTTATTGAAACTCAAATCTCAACCATTAGTAATTCTTGTCAACATAATTTTTGGGTCCCTAACTTTGGGCTTTAGTCACAACTCTCTAATATTAGCTTCTTTAGCATACCTATATAAATTGTATTTCTAATAAAAATTTGTTTCTTTTAGCATCCTGCGTATAGAGGTTAGGTTAGAAAAATGCTTTTAGTAATAGTAAATAGTACCTATATTGCACCGACATTTCAACAAGAGTACCGTGTCCGTGACTAACACATGTCGGATACCGACACTATTCGAACGCTCTACTATGTTCATTTTTCTTTCTTTATCAAAATATTATATATTTTTAACTCAAAAATTATTATTAAATAACAAATAGGTGCTCATGTTCAAAAAAATTTCAACAAGAAAAATTAATAACAAGTATAAAACTAAATTTACACTATATAAACAAATAATTTAATCAACCTGCCAATATTTTTTTGAAAAATCGTGTCAAAGTGTCCAATATGTGTCGTGTTAGACACATCTATATCGGTGCATCATAGCTAGTTACTATATTGTTGTACACAATCCACCATAGGTAGTTTGAAACTTGGCACAGAATCTATAAAAAAATTAGTTTAGGAGTTAGTACAAAACTGTCATAGATGGCTTTTGAGATAAAACAGAATGTTTGGTTCAACATAACAGTCTAACGTCAGAATGGTGACGGATGTGTATCAAATAGTGAGATGATTGCTCTTTTCCTTTCCATTTCCCTTTTTTGGCCATTGAGTGCTTATGGCCTTGTTTCTACTTTTCAGAATGTAAAAAAAAAAAAAAAACTTCTACCTATCATGGCTCACCCCTGAAAGAAATGAAATTTATTAATTAAATATGGAGAACCTTCTTTTACAGAACATCCTGGTTTAATCCCGTCTATTGATTGAAATTGTAAATAAATAAAACTATCTTTGGGATAACTACATATCATTTGGATAGAATGAGAAATGTAGTAAAAAAATTGCCAACAAAAATGAAATAAGATTTTAACTTTATTATGTTGGACATCGCATAGAAGTGGTAAGAAATTTACAAATAAGCTAGAAGACAAGATTCTACCCTAGCAGCATTAAAAACATAAATAACCTATTGTTTCTAAATATATGATATCAAAGCAATACATTACACTCTATGCTGGAGATCTACGAGATTTCTGAACATTTTCTTGAAGTTTTAAAACAATAGCATAGGTTCCTAGGAGCAAAACCTTATAAGTGCAATTGATATTACCTTAGAAGCGCCTCGATTTCTGTTGTGGAGGGTATCCAGTCATCCCCATTCCTGATTCTTTCCTTCTTGTCTATACAAAATAACAAAATATTAATCTCGATAAGGCAGAAAAACAACCATAAATATTCGACAGTCTTATCTAATAGACAAACCTGCTGCTGTTGATGAGCTTGCGGTGCAACACCTCGCTGCATCGGAATGTTGCCAGGATTTATTCCGCCACCCATTCCTGCCTGGGAAAGGTTATAAGCTGGAACACCCGGAGGTTGCATCCGCTGCATGCCAACCATGGGCATTGGCCGAGGCATGGATCTTGTTAGCATTACATGGGAACCTGGATTTCCCCCAGATACAGAATTTCCGGATGATACCTGATAATAAGATTATGCATGGATAAGAAAACATGTCACTTAACAGTAAATTATCATGTAAGTTAAATGTTGTTAGTACACCGTACGCTTTATAATACCATTTATTGCTATTATTAACACCATATAAACAGTGCTTAAGAATTACTGGGTTTTGACTTTTTATACCAATAATGTCCTTCAATCTATAACACTTCAAACCAAATCCATACGTGTTCCTGCTTCGAGTTGAACCTTTTCCTCATGTATCAGAACTTCCACCCATGTAATTTTTCTATTCTCATTGCGTCTTGATGTTATATCAAAGTACCAATCAAGATAGGGTTAAAAATCTGGTTAGCAGTTACTAAACTTGAAAATATTTTGTCACTAAATTTTATGATGTTTTCACCGTCACTTAGATCAATTCCATACATGGAAACTAATGGCGTGGCCGATTTGGCTGGCGTTATAATTATATGGCTTGTCCATGAACGTTAATTGTCCAAATCATTCATGGTTGCCTCCCTTCAAACAACCTATGGTCAACCGATGAGACCAAACAAAACAATATAGTTATTTTTCAGCTAAAAACAAATTTGTTCATAAACAACACCCTCTAATTGGCAATTAGTGTCCACGGTTACGCAACATAAGCATCCGGGAAGATACTGATAGTGATTAATGGTCGAACATCATAAAGTTTATTGACGAAATATTGACATTTAAAAGTTTAGGAAACATTTAGGAGAATGTCTTATGAGTTCAGGGAGAACCCATATTTCCGATTTTATCAATATACGGAGGTTTTATATTAAAAAAATGGGTTTAATACATTCGGCATAACTATACTTTACTTTAGTATCAATCAGGTAACTGTTCAATTTTGTTTAATCAAATACCTATAGTTTTAATATAATTTGAATCAGATAACTATATTTTTATTTGATTTCAATAGGATAACTATACTTTAATTAAATTTCAATTAAAACAACTTCGTCTAATTTCATTGACACAAATCTATAATGCAACAGTCAATAAATGATGTTCATCACATGTAACCATTAGTTACTAAAGTGAAATATGTACCGCTTCAGTAAAATAAATGACGGACTTTATTTATTAACTACAAATTCATCGACTAGGCAACGGAATTGGACATAATTACCTGATTGAATCATTAAAGTGTAGTTATCGGATTGAACAAAATTGAAGTACGATTACTTCGTTGGTACTAAAGTATAGCTACCACGAATGTAATTAACCAAATGAAAAATATAATCAAGTCCATCTAGATCTCATTTCTCTAATCTATGATTTGTAATATGGGATTTCACTGTATAACTAATAACCTAGCAAGATGCAAATTGAATTAAATAAGACTTCCCAAAAGAACTTTGCTCCAAGAAATAAATTGAATGATGAGCCAAACATAGATCTTAACAAATATTCAGCTACAGTCTTCAAGTAATATCATTTTGGCACTCAAAAAGAAGTTAAACAATTTGATCCTTATAACTTTTTCTATATATTAACAATACATAACTTGTGGAATTTTCCATTCATTGTTTAAATTAGGTACTCATAGTATCTTTAATTTGAGATGATTGAACGATTTGTTTTCATTGTAATGTCTTGATTGTATATTAATAACGTAAGCTTCATAAGACACGTCTAAGTAATTTCATTCTTGTGTAGGCAGTTATTTAGAATTGCTTAAAAGCACTTCAAGTTATTTGTTTTAGTCCCCATATGAGCAGAGACATGTTTGACGTTGCTATAAGCTCAAAATAAGCAGTTAAAATGCTTATAATTCATTTCAAGAAAGGGGCACCACCTCTTTTTTTTTTTTTTTTTTTAAAGAAGAACTTAGGTTATGCAAACGACCCTCTACAAAGGCCTACTATCAAAAAGTGATTATAAGAGAGCCTATTACAAAATTGTGCTTATATGCGGCCTTTTTTAAAGAAATACTAGGTAGGTTCTACAATTTGTGAAAGTCAATGATAACAATATTCTATGGTTTATAGGGAAATTATAAAGCTTAAATAAATTAATTTCTACGATGACAAAGTCAAAAGAGGAATGAACTAAAATAGTAACAGAGGAAGTGACTCTTGATGGTTAAATACAATCTTACGCGTGATCTAGACGTATAATCATTACCATTCAATAATACATATAACACAAGTAGTTGAAAGCACAAGATATAGCAACTTATGAGCACGTCAACTAATAAATCTATTCTCTATAAAATAAAAAATTATTCTTCTTCTATATCACAATCAAAGTTCTAAAAGACGAGGAGCGGCAAGACGGCAAGATCAAGCTACAAGCCTGGCGAGCATAGGCATAATAACATGTTGCCTTATTTTTATTATTATGCTAATCATTCTAAGACCAAGAATAATTATTTAAATTATTTAAAAACCATTAGTAATTATTCCTTTTATTTAGTTTATTTAACCTTAAAAAAATAAAGGAGCGCGCCTTTTGAGGCCTAGGCCCGCATTAGGCAGTCAAAATAGGGTTGACTGCCTTTTTCTATGCGGGCTTTATCCTCAAGTCTCGCGCCTTTTCTTGCCTTTTAGAACGTTGATCACAGTTCTATATAGAAAGAGAATGAGAATGACAAGAAAATATTATGTGTCATTTAAGAGTTTATGGCATACCAGCATATCTTGTTTAAGTTACAATCATAAAATAATAAATACCAAAAGGTGAAGCTATTAGAAGTTCTAATCAACAAAAAGCAATGCTGATTATGGTTTTGATAAATACATTTATCTTAACGATATTAAATTATATACACTGAAATATAATCAACCATGCACCATAAGTTTAAAAAGGGCTAAAAATAAAAATAAAATTCATAATTTTATTGTTTTATAACATTTTTTGTGTTTTACCCTTGCTTATGATAGTCCTACAAAATCTATCTCCGTGGAGAACTTTTTATTAATCAAAATTTATGGATTTCTTCAAATACTGACATACTAAGATGTAGAGCATCTTTAGGCTCCAGAGGACAACTGCATATTAAAGCTCAAAAAGGACCAAGATCAATTCCATTTTACGTGGTATCAAGCTATGTGCTTTCTTTGTTTATGATTTTTATTCATTACATTATGCTGGAGAATAAAATGTCGTTCTTAAATCCAAGAGTTGGATCACTCAAACGATGATGGTGGAATGCCATAAAAGGTTTATAGTCTTCCCTCATTATACACCAATTAATTTTCAGATGAGATGGTCAAAGCCAATTCACCAAGTAGTATCAGAGCCAAGATTATGGGATCGAGCCACAGGAACGCCATGTTGGGGGAGGGATTGTTGAGAGCAACAATTCCACTCTGAAGCCCGTGGTTGGTCACTTAAATTATGATTATCGAATGCTATAAAAAATTTAGATTTCCCTAACTGAACACCAATTGGTTTTGAAATGATATAATTAAAGCCCAGTCCAATTATTAGCCCAACTTAATAGAAAAGTGTAATTATAAAAGTACCATGCACACAAAGGTACCTATAGCATAGGTAGTCTATCTCACTTCTATATAATAAGAAAAAATTATTTATTTATTTATTTTTTGGTTTAGCTAAAAATAGATTTTTATTAGATTTTAATAAAAGTTGAAGAAATGTGTAGTTGAAAAGTTGAAGTTGTGAGTCCCATAAAATATATCGTTGAAAATGAGTTTGAAAAAAAAAATGATTTTTAGATAATGGAGGCCAAACAGGGGCTGTGTAAATAAATAAGAAAAAAGAAAAGAAAAATAAAAGAAAAAGGGACTTAAAAGGTATTGCCTTTATTACACTTGCATACTCTTTTCATATTACGAGGAAAAAAGATAACTCTTCCTCTTCTCATTTATCTCAAGTTTTCTTTGCATGAAACAATATAAATATTTTTATTACTTGACATTTAAAAACTTGCACTACCAACAACCAGCAAATCTATCTATACACCAGTATTAAATGAAACTGCTATTACCAAAGATCTATTAGCTTTAAAGAAGTTTCCAGTTTAACTCCCACCCCACCCCCGCGAAGCACAAGGGTAGCAGAAGAGATTGATGTCTTTCCCTAATGAAGGTTTGGCAAAATCATAACAAACATAGCATCCATCTTGACCTAAATGTTTACAGGCTGGTGGGCTTTCTCAACTCTATTAGAACACAACGTCAACTTTAGGAACCTACAATAACTAAGGAAACTCGAGTCTACGTAATTCTAGAATAACAGGTAGTCCTATAAAATCTAATATATCCTGTATCATTAAAAGACCAGAGTACCTTCCCTTGTAGCCCCCAATAAAGGATTGAATCATAAAAGTCTAATAGCTTTATTATAAGATAAAAGAAGGAACAAAAATAAGCCTAGACTTCAAGACAGCAGCTGTAAATCCTTCATAAAAATCCATGTTTGTCCTAAAGATTTATTAAATGTTTCCACGAGGTATCAAATTTTCAATTTTCCACAACTTCGAAGAAACTTCTCTATCCAATGCAGGTCAGCAATGTTTCCGCTTGCTTCCAAAACACATTTTAGCGCTGACTGTGCCCCACCTCAGTTATGGCTCTTTGTATGAATGTTTCAAAGATAACTCACCTCATTATAACCTGGAATGTGAATCATTGGAATTGCCCAAATGAGAATCACCAATGTACTCTAGTAGTAGACTTCTTGTTTCATACAATCGATATACTTTCTAAAGCTAAAAATAAAGGCTTCTTTTTAAGATGGATTCTGCTCATTTTTTAACGTAATGCATATTAGGCAACAAAAAACCTAGTATTGCAGAAGTAGGCCTACAGAAGACGTTTCTTTGCAGCAAATTAGGACAAGGGTGACATCTTTCTTGAACACTCAACTGTTAGTGACAGAAAACATCAGTAGCAATTTTCTCTTCACAACATTAGCATTAAAATTTTGTCTAGTTCCAAATTTAAGAAATCAACAGACTGAACATAGGTAGACATACCGGTTGAGAAGGTTGAAGACTAATTGTTCCTACAATATCGGTGCTTGTGTCCACTGGTCTAGTTGGGTAGTTTACAACTTTCTCTCCCGGTTGCGGAGGTACCAGAGCGCTGAGACAATCAACTAATTACTCAACCAAAATGTAAATGGACAAGTACAATATTAACTGAATCAATGAACAAAAGTTAAATATGCATGTCATCATTAATACAACTTCCATACAATGAGATCTAAATAAGTAAGAAAATAACTACATACTTGCATCCTGGCAAAGGTTCCATCCGAAAGTAACTGTGAATTAGGAAAAAGTTGAAAAATTAATAAATTGCAAGGCTAACATTGGTGATGGATTATGCACTAATGTCTATCATGGTCATTACTACAACACATTTCATTTTGAAAGAAGAAAGCAACACAAAATCGAAAAAGAAAAAACATAAACATAAAGAATGATCATGAAGCTTTCACTACCATATTTTAAAAGAAAATGCAGGTTCTGAACAATAAATTGTCTGGCCACGATATAAATTGGATGGAAAAAAACATACAAACAAGCTTTGCCACAATTACAGGAAATAACTTTTTTTATATGTTTTAGCACAATAATTACATCAGAAGTTTCATTTCCTTCAGTTGGTGGTATACCTGCAGAAAGCCCTAGAATTAATGAGTATGTAAAGGAGCACCAACTGTTGACAATCTTACTTGAATGGAGAAAAAACAAATACAAGCAGAGCTCAAACAACTGAGGTCAAAATCAACTAGCCCAACACAGAATTTTGTTTTTGGGGGAAAAAAAAAACAAAAAAACCCCAAAGATTAGATACCTCAAATATTAAACACCACTATTTGCCCAAATAACAATTGTACTGAACGCCTAAGTTGAAATTCTCTGATTACATACGTGTACGGCTCAACGCAGATTTTTGCTTTTGGGAAAAAATAAATAAATTAAAATTACATCAACAACAACCCAAAAATTTTCATATCCCGAATATCAAACACCACTATTTGCCCAAATAACAGTTGGATAAGTTACTGAACACCTCAATTAAAATTAAAAGTTGAAATTCTCCTAATACATACATGTACTGCTCACTTTTCTCGTATCAAAACTCTGCTCAACTTAAAGACCAGCAAGTGTCACCAAAAATCCATTGGCAATGTTTCATGATGGGCACCATATTGATTTATAAGCTAAGGATCAGACATCACTTGACAATCACAGTACAAGATGAATCCACAATTGAAGATGAGAGACGGAAATGCTAGAAGAGTCTTTACTGACACAATGTTGCGTGCCTATATTTTATTATCCAGGAATACTTCAATTACAGGCCAGAGGTCGACTTTTTTCCTAGGGGCTTGTTTGCTCAGATCATAAGTTAAAAATTATTGTCCAGTAGAGTAACATTCACCAGATGCAAGGAAAGCACGGTGAACTATGGAAAGTTGAAATGGAGGGGTTTCTGATTATAAATAGTTAATAATAAATCCATCAACGAATATTTTAAAGACTCCCCAAGCAGGATGCATGTCACTTCTAGATACGTGATGTTCAAATCACTTTGTACCTTCGTGGGGGTAGAGGGCTGGTGGGGTGGGGTGGGGTGAGAAGGAAAGAGTACATACTCATGTTCAAGAGCCTGTGCAGCTGTTAGTCTTTTTCGAGGATCATATCTGCAAATAAGAGCCATAAATTGCATGTCATTGATCTAAAAATATTCAATAACAGGTCAATTATGCGAACAACCAGATGTGACATGTAAAGATGTAAAAGTAAATATAAGAAAGGAGACATATAAACTGAAGCCAAAAATACAATCAACAATGCGGACTTAGGATAATAAGCATATTTCGGAGGGAAACAGTTCTGAATTTATCATTACAAGTTCTAGGAATATATAAATGGAAATACAGTAATGCTGTTGACTAATTGCTTTCCTGATGTTAAGCATAGCATGAAAGATATAGTTGGTAGGATGCTATGGAAGCTGGTGAATTCGCTGACATAGCCATTTCTATTAAACTATGTTCTATTTAAGGGAGGTCACTTTGACAACTCTGAGAGTAAATATATTTGTTCACAGATGTGACGATGAATTGCATAGTTCAGGACGTGAAACTCTTTGTTCTTGGGTTCTGTGAAACAAAGCTGCTATGCATTGAAGAACTGGATCCAAAATCTAATTTTCAGCTCCTGAAATACTTCTTAGAGAATAAATTTACAATTCTAGAGTGAAATACCTCATATAACTTAGCCCCCGTTTGGCATCCGTTTTTCTTTTCCATCTCATTTTTCTACAGTACACTCCTGACAAAACCTTTCAGAATTTTTTTGTCGGCATGTTTAATGCCGTTCAGAATCTTTGGACAATTTCACCCCCCAGATTCAATTGCAACTTTACATCCTTGCCCTCAACTATTTTGACACAAGCATTTGAAAGCCGTTCAAGGGCATATTCGGAATCAAAGAAAAATATAAAACTATTCTGACAGTTATTATGCCCAAAAATAATAATTTAAACAAAANGGAAAGTACCCAAAAATAATAATTTAAACCAAAGTCAGGTGATTGGGACAGAGTTGAAGGACATTGGGACCCACAATAATGGAAGTTCCTGTTGAAAAAATTGGAAAAAATGGATGTCAAACGGGGGCTTAATCTCTTTCAGCAACATCATTATCAATTTTTTTGCAAACAGAAAGAAAATTCAAAAATGCACAAACTGGGAGATCACATACTCGAGCATCTGGGAGAGGAGTTCATATGCTGGATTTTTGTGAGAGAGATGAACTACACTGTGCAGACCAGCAGTTTCACTGCAAGGAGGAGAAAAAAAATCCCAAGAAAAGAGGGTCATGAAGCCATTAGCCAAAGGCGGTTTAGAAAATAGACAGCTGACAAACTATAGCCATCAAAAACACTGAAATTCTGAAAATGGGAGAAAACAAATATAACTTACTACTTATGGCCTTGAATGTGTTGTAAATCAGACTGCCAGTGAGGAAGGTTCACAAGCATAGGCCACTTCTCTTGTGTGGGATGACCTAACGCCAAAATCAATTATCGACGACTGTTTCCAGAACAAATTCTAAAAAGAGGATGACTAAAGAACCTTCTCACCTAGGACCTTAAATATTTTGTCAAGTTGATCAAGCTGCATTACACAAAGAATTTTCAGACAAGTAAAAGACACATGAGATAATGCTAACTAATAAGAAAGCTGTTGATTGCAATACTTTTTTACTGCAAAGGTAACAGAAATAAATAGAAAAGAAAAATATCAAACCTGAAATGGGTTAGGAGTTCCTTTTACTTCTTGCCCTTGAAATAGTGGTTTCAGAGTCAAAAGCTCAGCAAATATGCAGCCAACAGCCCACATGTCTTTTTTGATCAATTAAAAGATATCATAAATTAGCAAACCTCGTAAATGTCTAATTCTGATGAGTATTTTCTTTTGCAGTATGAGAACCATATTTTGTCTGTATAATGAGATGATAATAAGGTTGCTATGAGAATGACAGAAATATGGAGCACAAGATCATACCAACAGCACTTGTATAGTGTTTTGCACCAAGGAGTAACTCAGGCGCACGATACCAAATGGTCACCACAACCTGTCATCCATGATAGAAAACAACAAACTATGAATACAGAAATAACAACAATAATAACAGAATAAATTCTCGGATTACTTATCAAAAAAAAAAAAACAATAATAATAATAGCGCTGAGGGAAAAAGAAATCTGATTAAGAAACTCTATATTTACTAAAGCAACAATTCAAAGTAGCTGACCATATTTTGATTACAGTGAATTTTGTCCAAGAAAAGACAAACAGTAAGTTCATTCTTTCATGGGGAATCAATACGAATTTCTTATCAAAATATTTCAGAGCATATTACATCTCTTAAAGCCCATTCATCTATAAATTCTTAAGTCAATTAGAGAACAGAACATAGTAAATGCAAAAGCTTATATTGCAAGTATTCTAGCCTAAGTTACTCATCCCTCCAAATTCTAAAATTCCATTTTACCATTTTTAATGGATAAGGCAAGCCACTGAGATTTTTCTTGATTGTAATCAATACACGACCCTCACAAACCCTTATTTATTGTGGAAACTTGTGAATTAATTTTGAGACGTCATTTTCTTGCATCGATTATGTTGGTGATGTGTTAAGTCATGATCTTTATGATTTGGATATAATGGTCATTATTTGAATGTGGTTGTTTTCTATAAATAATTTAGGTAGAAGAGAACTTCTTTATGATGTTTCTTTGAGCTAAGTCTATTAGGTCCTATTAAGAGATGATATGTGGAAAGTGTAAAGCCTGGGGTTATTGAGTTCCCCATAAATCCTGCTCTACTACAACCTGAAGGGGTTGCCGTTTAGAAACCCTAAAAAAAGTGGATTCTGCCCTTTGGTTCTCTCTTCTCTACACTTACCCCACACTTTCCCCTCTCTTTTTGACTCTCTTCATTGAGTCTCTTTCTAAGTATTATTCTAACCCCTGCAACTAAATATTTTGGTAGGAAGTTTACTAAAACCATGAAATCAAGGACAAACTCTAAGAGAACAGACTGGAGCTTTATTTCATAAGTATTGAGAGGGTGAATTAATGAAAAAGGGTGTTAGAAACGAAACATGAAGAAGATTTTCCTTATTACTCAATACAAAAGAAACACCAAGGTGGATCCTAGGCATAAAGGATGTAGCCAAATTTGGCCTTCATTGGATGAAAATATTTCTGAAGGACTTATAGCAGTAAGCAGTCATTCTCGTTTCCACTGCTTGAATCAAGACAGTAGAGACCCTCATGTTAAGATGGATGGATGGATGGTTATATTAAAATTGATTAACAAGAACTGAGAATATATGCCAACAAATGGACTAGTCACAGAGGATTTAATTTTAATGGATCTTTCGGAATATAGTGATGGGCAAAATAGTATCCTATAGTAACGTTCAAATTCAATGGGGAAACACGTTTTTTTGTTGCTGAGATCCACCAACTAGACACATCCGTACTATAGCAAGTTAATAGTGTGTAAATGTAAGAAATAAAGACCTCCAAAGAAGGAGCAAGCTACAATAGGATTAATTAAAAACCTGAAACAAAGTATAAGTTAGCTCTTGAAATTAGATTTTTAGCAAATTTTGATAAAAGTTGTGAAACATGTCGTTGAAAAGTTGATAAAATTTGTGGGTCCCATGAAATGTAAGGTTGGAAATGAATTTAGGAAAAATAAGTTTTAAGAAACGGTGGCCAAACATGGGCTTAATCTATCAAAAATTAAATTTTCAGAAAGGGAAGGAGAAGAAATTTAGAAAAGAAAAAGAAAAAACAGAGGGAGCAGTAAATGTCTTACCCCATTTTCAGATAGTGGCTTTAAAGGAGCTTGGTAAATTCTTGCAAGGCCAAAATCAGCAATTTTTACTACTCCTTGTTCTTCTCCATCACCCATTACCTGGTTAAAAGTTTGAAATTTTCCATCAAAATTATAGAACCTAAGGTATTTATACATATCTTTTAAATATTACAAAAAGAAGGAAAAATAATGTCACAAAGTAGCTTTAAAATGCCATGATCCTACCAAGATATTCGACGGCTTTAGATCTCGGTGAACAATCCAGTTACTGCAGCATTAAGAATTCAACAAGATTATGTTATGAATGAAAACAAAGCAATATTTTCAAGTAAATGATAAATCCTAATATTCTCCCATAGAACCATCAGGGGCTGCAATTACTATTCTAAGGTTGTGTCTGGGCGGAATTAGTATTGCAATTCGGACCGTTGGTAATCAAAAAAGGAGCCGTTGTACAATTTTTTAATCGAAAAATTCAGACACACTGCAGTACCAATTCAGCCCACTGACACTTCCATTACCAAATTTACCCTTCCCATTTACACGTGTCAAAGGCTGCAAGTGTTTGTTTCAATTTTTTAATCTCAAAATGGTCCTTTTCTCCCATTTCCAGAAAACACATGCAAAGCTTCAGAAAATGGGCCCGTCTGATTTGACCCAAAAATTGATTTTTCATTGCCAAAATCGCGCCCAGACACCCCCTAACCTTACTCCTATCAAATACATCTCATTAAGGGAATGTTAATCTCGCTTCTGCCCCATTAACCAATATAGAAACTATTTACTTCTACTCCAAAATCATTATTTGATCTTAATGTCTCTTTCCCAATGATCCACTCATTTTACTTCATCAAAAAAGTATTTAACATTGTGCTCTGAGTTTATTTTCTATTTATTCAGTGTAAATTAACTCAAACATCAATGTTAAATAAAGTGGAAACTTTAAGATAATTCAATCATAAAGGTCAGCATATCATTAAAAAATCAGTGTTCACCAAAAAAATTGAAGAAGTAATTATCTAAGATGCCAAATTGGGTTGGGGTCTTTCGATTTAATGATAACATTATATTTCAATTTTTGTCCAAATTAAGCCACTGTTTGACAAGTATTATTTCAAAACTCTAGAATTTTTATCTTCAATTTCAATCATACATTTACACAATAAAATATTTTGCACGTAAACCCAAAACTTTTTCTTACTTTTTAACCACACATTCTCCAAAAAAATCCCTATTCAAACTCCAATTTCTCAAAATAATTGCCATCAAACAGGGGCTAAATTTTATCAAGAGAAAGAATTAATGCAGATATACATTTTTGAAAAGAACAGTGTTGCTGCGAAATAGATAGTAGATTAGGAGTACAATTTTTCACAAGAAAAATTTTCTATACAGAAAGGAAAACAACATAAGTGATTGTCGGAGGTCAAAAAGAATGCATCACAAAGTATTAGCAAATAAAGAAAACAAATGGAGTATTTCAACTTCATTTCAAATTACCCAATGATGTTCCATAAAGGGAACCCAAAACCTTGCACTGTAAAAGAAATTAAGAAGACTATTTTAGATAAATGAAAAGGGAGGTATTGGTTTCAAAAATTCTAGCTTTCCTCCTAACCAAATACAACAAGTTTAGCATGCTACCCAAACAAAATTACATACATTGAAAAACACCATATTTTGGTAGCAGACTCATTATGGATTGCAAAAAACTTTCCAGAAATTTCCCTGCCACGTGCAATGCAAAAATAAATAATCATGGACACATGCATAAGATACAAACATGAGGAGAACAGTCTCCACACGGGCAGCAAGTAGCAAGTAATTAGCACATAGTCCAGGAATCACAGACCAAGTGATAACAATCTTTGCGTCTTGTCAGGATTCTGGAGCTTATAAAATTAACTTAGATGTCCAAAAAAAAGATTTGATTTATTTAATAGTCATTTGATATAAAAGTAGGAGCTGTGTAAATGCACTAATTAAGCACAAAATTCTCGTAAACATGAATAACCTGTGAAGATAATTTAGACCATTAAGAAGCTGCCACAATAAAGACTTGACGGTATACGGATTAATTGCCTGGTTCACCTTGTCTCTGTGATGTCTGATGATTTCCTGGGATCATTCAGAAGGGGTCAAGCACACAGTAATAGAGTCACTAAACTAGAACACCTAATTCAAAGTCGCATATGTCTCTTAAAATCAGTGTGTAGGCTAACCGATGAATATTCATTCGTGTGAAAGGTTCAAAAATTACAAAACGGTGTAAAAATTATCCAGATCAATGAGGCCTTTCTTCTATTTTCAGATGTCATCTTTCATCCTAAGAAGAAACGTCTGAATGAGCTTTAATTCATAGTGGTACCAAAAATAAAACAACACGTGTTCAAGAAATTCACTGAACTTGGAACGTGTAAAGAAATGTAAGACTGAGCTCAAAACAAAGCAGAGGTTCTCATTATAAAAGTAGGTTTCTCCATTAACAAGAGCATATTTCAATTTTTCATAGGTTAAAAAGGTACATGGGGAAGGTAAAAAGGCGGACTGAGGAAATTTTTATTGGCTTTGATAGCCAACAAAATGTAAAAAGAAATAAACTAAAATCAAAGGAACCAACACCAACAGCAAATGGGGGATGTTAGACCTAAAAGGTAAAAAGGCCCATATAAGTTATATTTCTGCAAATCATTCATATCATGATGCAATCATGCAAAACATATAAAGGAGACATCTTGCTTGGTTCCAATTCAATATTTTGAGTAAGCATATGAATCTTGTAAATCCACAATGCATCTTTTAGGACAACGTTTCCTAAGAAGAAATTAAGATTCAGTTAAACTGCTTGAAAAAGCATAACATTGCTGGACAGACCAAACCTCAATTTGTTTTCACTTTTAGTTTCTATTATTCCATTTATGTGCAAGTCAATGTGTGATAATAAAGTTGTATTTAAACAAGGCCACGGAGATTTGAGTTTTGGAGGTTAAAAAAGATAAGAGTTTGAAGTCTTGCTGCCTCACTTAAAAGATTAGAAGAAGCAACAGGAAATTCTTCACAAAATTTTTGCTAGGAAGTTAACAGAAAATCTGTAAATATGAATCCACATCTAAGAACAATCATCAATATATTGCATACAACAGCACTGATGCTCAAATCAGGTTTCAACAATATTATTTTGGACAACATGTTCTATCCTATATAGTACAGATCAGACTCAGGTATTTTTTATGGTTATAATATTTTCTTCTATGTAAGATCATTATTTGATGCATTAGAAAACAAATTGTCCTCACAATATGCCTATCCAAATATCTTCAAAATTAAATTCAGATACCATCATCATTTGCTTACACAAATGTATATAACACAATCATAGTTCTTTCTGATGCTCAAATCAGATTTCAACAATATTATTTTTGACAACATGTTCTATCTTATACAGTACAGATCGGACTTAGGTACCATCATCATTTGCTTACACTAGTGTATATAACACAATCATAGTTCTTCAAATTAGAAAATACATCAGATGCATAGGTGTCAAAAATACCTCACAATACTAATGTGTTACAATTTCAACCAAGTTTGTTCGCATTAAAAAAGTCATAAGTATCATAGGTAAAGTCCCAATCATAGATGTGCCCGATGCATTTATCTTGATGTTATCTTATCAACATGTTAATTCCTTATTAGAATTTGTAGAACACAGTCTAATCTCTAGTGGGAATTTCAAAAATGCATTAAAGAGTAAGATCAAGCATGTATTACGCATGTACTTATATTCAGCAACTATAAGGAATGTACACTCACATAAAGATCATGCTCTGCATAGTCAAAAGCTAGATAAAGTGACATATCTGCATGATTGATATGCACATTCGCGAGCTTTACTACATTCTCATGTGAGATCTCCCGAAGCAACTGCATCATAAAACCCATAAAATATTTTACTACCCAGTGAAAAAATCCTAGATAGAAGAAGATTCAGAAAAATGAAGAGGAAAACAATTGAGATGTACAAAGAATTCACAATGTAAATATTTGATTCCAAAAGTAAGAACGAAAATAAACATGATCAACATGCATCAAAAAAAAAATTGTTGATGATTTATAGGCTTAGCAGTAAACAAATGTTAGGAGAAATCAATAAATTTCAGTTCCCAGCAAACAGAACCTCATGTCATTCAAAATTAATATGTTTTCAAGACCTACAGGAACGAAACTGGTCCCCAAAGACAGATAGGAGAATGATCAGTTCGCTAAGTGTGAAATAAGAGGCTATGAAGCGTGCCATTATTCAGGGTCAGTTTATCCATTCTTCTTTCTCCCCAGGTGGAGGGGAATGGTTAAGTGACACTCAGCATCTTTTTTGGTAAACGGGAAGTTTATCCAGGTGCCTTAGTCTTGCCTAACCGGTGTTTAATGAAAATATTCTGACCAATCAGAATCCAACCCACCCCCCCCCCCCACCAACTCTTTCTTCTAAAAATATTTGTTCTTACCCTGATACCACTTATTTACCAACATTAAGAGAATGAATGGCTTCATTTAAATCTACCAAATTCTAACTTCTATGACAGCATGAATGGTGATACTGCCAAACGAAGCCAAAAAAGAAAATTTTGCTTCTTTTGTAGATTTAAGCAAAACAAACAAGCTCTAATGAGTTAAAAAGAAATTAATACTCCACCTGCGCATGAATACATATACATATACAGGTAGACACATGCACACAGCCACACAAACATGGGGGTTTACCATAATTTCACGAATAGCAGTGGGGGAGACGCCATCGCCATCCTTGGACTGCTTGAACTTCTTGATTGCAATGGGTTTCGAGCGATTCGACTTAACCTTCGCCAAGAAAACCAACCCATAAGTACCCTCCCCGATTTTCCCAATCACATCGTACTGCTCTAGCCACTCCGGCTTGTTACTACTGCTATTGTTCGAATGGGAATTCGGATTATTTGCCCTTCCATCCCCCATGTTCAATATAGTGAATGAATCCAGTAAACAGTGCTTCAATTGGAGCTGTAGATAATGAAATTGATGAGACTGAAATCCCTAAATTCGGAATCGTTGCCCAAGTCAGCCAATCGGGAGCTTAAGCAGAGAAATGTGTACTGTTTCGAATCGTTCGATTTCTTCTCTCTCTGCTTTTGTTATCGCCTGACAGGACATAAAGTTTAGGTTCGGATTGCGACTTTGTAGACTTTTATAATTTAAGGAAAACTTTCTATTAAATAAAATTCGGGTTAATCTCACAAATGGTCACTGAAGTTCAAAACTTTCAAAAACGGTCACTGAGCTTTCCTAAACTTTCACTAACAGGCACTGAAGGACCAAAACACATGAACTGAATCCTTTAGGACCTCAAGTGTAAATTTCATCTAATTTCAATTTTTCAAAATTTGCCCCTGATTCCAAGTATTAACCACTTCCGGCACTAAGCTCCATTGCCACTTTGGAGCCACAAATCTCGACTTTACAGCAGCCAAAACCTTCGGATTCAACCACCATGAGCCTCGCCTCATTCCCCTCTACATTATCCAACCAACCACCAGCCACAAATCAAAGGAAGCGGCAGAAAATCCAGCCCAAAAACACAAATCTAGCACACCCCTTTCTACCGAAAAATCCACCTCCGGCAACGCCCATTGTCGCGCACCACCAATGGTCGATAGCCCTCATCCAGGCGATCAATATCATGTCCTAACATCGACCAATAAATGTACCAATTCGCTTTGATTTGAATCAATTAAAATCGGGCAGTTGCGATTTGTGGTTGCGATTTTGTTGTGGCGGTTGGGGTAGGTTTGGATGGTTTTTTGTGTGGTGGTGGTGATGGTGTTTGTGTGGTGGTAGTGGTGGTGAGGTGGCGGTGGCGGTGTTTTTGGTCGATTTTTGTGTGGTGGTTGTGATGGTGTTTGGTGCGGTGGAGGTAGGGGGCGGCAGTGGGTTTGGAGAGGTTTTTTGTGCCATTGTTTGAATAGATGTCTGCTGCAGATCATGGCAATAAAGAGTAGAAGATGGCTGTTGTAGATCATGGTGTTTGTGTGGTGGTACGGTGGAGGTGGGGACGGCAATTAGGATGGTTTTTTGGATGGTGGTGGTGATGGTGTTTGTGTGTAGTGGAGATGGGGGTGGGGGTGGGTTTGGATG